AAAACATTGACATCATTTTCTGTGCTAGATGCTGGATAGGGGATGCCTGTCTTTCAATTAGATGTCCATAGGGAGGGGGGCAATATTTAGACAATTGCTGAGTAGAATACAGACATTCTTTAGTCTTTCAAACATCAACAGACTTTAAGACCTTGTTTGTTGATGAGAGTAAGAGAAGATGTTGGCAAGATGACTTCAAATGAGGGGGCGTGGTTTTGAGTATACAGCTGCCACTGCCATTTTGTATGGTCTGACAACATATAATTTATAGATCTTCAACTGAGTCACTTTTGAAGTAAAAAGTCACCTACATGTACTTTGTTTTAATAGTTTTCCTGAATCATTTAGATGCATGATTCATTGAGAGATACTTTATTCATCTGCATTTTTTGTCTTGAGATCCATGATTCTTTGTGAATTCTCTGATCCTCCTTGAAGACTTCAAGGATCGAGGAACGGGTTGGCTTTTGATGTTTGATGCAACCGGAAATTACCTCACAGGTTGCCCAGTGTGCAAGGTATAATTTCAATCTATGACCTAAACGACACCCCACAGACGTCCAACCCTTGCATGACGGGGAACAACGGACGCTAAGCCGTGCAGTGAGTGAGTGAGTGTGAGTGCATGTGTATAAATTTTTAAATTAAAAAAAATTTAGGCCTGGTAAGCCAGTATGTCAAGGTCAAGCATAGCCATCCCATTGGTCCTAAATCTACAGGGGCCTTTTGAATCAGTGAAAACCTCCTTTGTTTGAGTCCCAGGATTGGCAGTTTGCCATCCTGTAGAGTAGGAGTATATGTCAACTTGTTAGGTTCCTGCTTCCTGTTCTGTTGCCCTGGAGAATTGTCACAGTGATGGCTTTGATCAAATTGAAAAGAACTTTACTTCTGTCAAGAACAGAAGGAACCACGAAAGAAGTACAAAAATGTATGAAGTACAAATATTTTATTTCTCTTGTTGGTGATGAACAGTATGTTACTTTGCTAGGCCCTATGTTAGACCCTGGTATAAAATGGGTGTTACCTGTAGACCTAGGCTGTAGCATTGCTGAAGCTTGCTCAGTCCAGCGAGAAATTGCATCTTTTTATGGGCAGATATTACAATTGGACTTGATGTGTATCTACTGAAGGGTGAGGCTGGTATGTGTGAGCATTGTTAATGCAAGACTGAAGACCTCATTTGATACTTGGGAAAATTAGGACTATTTTTTCTTAAACCAAACGTCCTGTACAATGTTTTGATGGTTTTGATAGTTATGGTTTACAGGTAAGCAATCCACTTCAAATAGGCCATAGCAATTTGATTTGTTGGTTCTTTTGTTCAATTTTGAACTATAAACCTGGAGTACTAAAAGATCAACCTGAAATTCTTCTTACACCGAGTTTGAAATGACAAATGAAGTCCGATAATTCTAGCCCTCTGTTTTCGTCTTGTCCTCTTGATGAGATTTTACATCAAGCTATCTTAGATCTAACAAAATAAGTCTGTGTGGCCTTAGGTGAAGCAGGACCTTGTAATGATGTTTGACAGTCTGCACATTTTTTGGGAGAATGCCCTACATTCGCCTCAGTTGACTATCATCCTGGAGCAAAAATGCATGGCCTAGAGACACAAACCCAAGATATGGGGAAGGCATGTAACAAGAAGCCGTGAGAAAGCAAAAGTCTGAACCTAACCTTCTTATAAGGGTCAGCTCTTGGTTTTTGGACTCAAGGTGCAGAAGGGTCATTTTGTATATCATATAGCTTTGTTCTAGCAATAAGAAAAGAGCCCATTCCTTTTCTTTTACAATTAGCAAGCAGCGGGAGGATGTACATTTTAGTAGCAAGGTCAGTTTTGCTGCTTTGAATTCGCCCTGTGTAACACCTGTGTGAATGTGACTGGCCAGTGGCAAATTACTGTCAGAATAAGCTTGAACTGAGCAGTTTGTGTTGTCTAAATTATCGTGGGAACCAATACGCAGGATTAAAGGGCAACCTTGAAAACTTTTGTGGTTCGTGTCTCCAAGTCGATGCATATTGCAAATGATTGCAGACATGGTGGAGAAATAATCCTTTAATCTTGAGGGCATATAGAATTGGATTGGGCTCCTTTGGACCTCCAATATGTATGGAAATTTATGTGACACTTGGGAATTTTCCTCTTTGAAATTATTTGGGGTCTATTTTTTTCCTGCTAAGTTACTTGTCTCAAATGCCAATAGTGTTTGTCTTATCATTCCTGTGCACTTTTTTTGTCTGTTTTCATGCCTTCATGGTTCCTCCTTGTTAGTTCCTTAAAGTAAGTCAGGATTACTCATTGTTGAACATCAAAGTGCAAAAGGGTACGAATAAGTAATCATCCGAGGTCGGTCGCTCTACCTTTTAGTTTACCTTTAAGAACCAGCAGGATACTAACAGCAATGTCATTTGTTTACTAATAAATCCCACTGTTTATATCTTGTAAGTCATTAAAGGCATACCTATATTTTGTACCTGCTGCTTTGTTTGTTTTCTTAACCTGCAGATTGTTCTGGTAACATGCGTACCTGTTCATATGTAAATACCCGCAAAGAAGTTAATAGTAGCAGTGTGGGTTGCCCGGGGCTATTGTTGCTACCTGTGCGGGGCATGCCCTCTCACCTGAGCGGCAACCCTTTACTTCCGGACAGGTAGATAAATGCTTCCGGACTCCATGCTCAAAGCAAATGTCACTGTCTCAGGGATTTTTCTGGTTGTGGCACAACCTTCAGCTTCTGGGTAAGGACCATATAAATTCCTGATTATATATAATAAAAAGAATATTGTAGCCAGGCAAATTCGATACTCTACTTGTAGGTATAGATGTTTTGTGCTCTAAGAATGAGGTTCGTTGAGTGCACTAGATTCCATAGCCGACACAAAAAGTGACAAATGTTGAAAGCTCTGACTTTAGATCTTAGCACAACCTTCAGCATATTGCTGGTAAAGGTATTATAAATGCTTGATTGTTAAAGTCATGCTGTAACTATATAAAGGGGTTAGCTAGTGTACTGTATTGTGCCTCATGTGTTTCATTTTCTTTTTCAAAGGCAGTAATTAGAGGGCACTTTTCTTATTAACTTTGTAACAAGCTGTCTCAAAGACACATGTTTTTTGGCTTCAACCATCCTATCAGAATATTACTGTACATCAATCTTCAAAGATTAATTTTGTTGCAGAAAGGCTGGTTGTCCATTTCGCAGTCCTTAGTGTACTTACACAATGTATAATCCCAATGCATAACCTTTGCATGTTGGTTAACAGCATTATTCAAATGATGGCTGGCTTGATCCTCCACTTAGTCACCCCTATTCAGTGTTCATCAGTATGGAGCCTTGCTTTGTCGCAGGTGTGGCTCGTTAATATTTTTCTTTAATTACACATATCCTGGCAGCTTCTGAGTAAGCTTTTAATTTTGTGCAAAGGTTAAAAAGCCAACGTCTTTTCTTCAGGCAACAAAAGTGATCCACAGACGAGACTCTACGAAACAGAAATGCCACCCTTACTGGAAATACCAACAACCCTCACTTACTATTCACTAAATATGTAGTTTTCCTACTGGGAGATCTGGACATAAAATTGCCATGCTGGTCACATTCTATATGGCTGGGCACGCTGCTTTGCTGTGCTGTTACTCCTTAATACTCTCACATGCTGTCTGACCAAATCTCCAGGATTTGTACGTGCATATCTGTGATGGTCGTTGCCTCCAGTTGCAGGGAAGTTTTCCAGTCTGTATTGGGTGGGTGAGTTTGATGTGTGTGTGGCTGTGTGGTGTATCCACAAGCCAGGCCCCTCCAACATGGCCTGACCTTCAGTTAGACCTCAGGACATATTTGGCAGGTATTCAGCTTGCAAACAGCTGCTAGAATGTGCTCCATGGGAAGGCTTGTATCTCTCTTACAACTGCAACTTCCCGGCATGGGGAAAAAGAACTGTATTGCACAATTAATATTGTATAATAGATGGTCGCAATGGTCAGATATTTCGTGCATGATACAGACAGACCATGAGTTATGTCTACAATGTATATTGGTGTATACAATGTGAGTTGATAAATAATTCTAATGCAAGAACTAGGACACGCTAGGCAGAATACAACTATAATGCTAATACTATGGTGGCAGACACAGATAGAATGTAATATGGTTACACTTATGCATGTAATTATTTTGGAATTGGCCTACATACATGTAGATGGTTATATTTAAGACATGATGAAAGAGTATGTAATTTACAGATGTTGAATCACAGTATCTGTATGGAAAGAATAGGAATACATTCCATGTTTTACTTAATATAATTTCTGCTGCTTGGTCATCTATTATTCATAAGCCCAGTAGCTACATGTAGTTGATATGTGGGGCAATCAATTCACAGAAACATAAAAGATGCTGCACAGGGCATGATTCGTATTTCATTGGGGCAAAGGGGAAAGGTCGTGCTATAATGAGGCATAGAATGGACACTGGGTACAAGAAGGTTTCTTTGTAGTCCGTTGAACCATGGAGAAAGGTTCAATCTCGAGCAATTGTCACTGACGTCTGCCTTTGTTGATTAGGAAAGGGAACATGGATGGATTGTTAGGAGAGAGGCATGGGCATCATTTCAATTTGGGGTCACTGGGTGAGGTCTGAAGACTGGCGCTGTGCTAATCATGGCCCACGCCACAGTGCAGGGAACATGCATTCCCTGGGTATCTTTTTAATAACAAAATGAGATAGAAGCCTCCTTTGCAATCTCAATGATTAACTTCTCTAGGCACATACCTACCTGTACCTACCTTTATTTTTGTTTCTTAAAATAAATTCACTCAGTGATTTGCAATGTGGCAATTTAGTGTACCATTTACCATACAATAACTTCATTCATCAGTATTTTCCTTCATTTTTCTATCATTTTCACTGATGTACATTTTACCATCTACATTTATGTCAAAAAGGAGTCCAAATCTTCATTGCTGTACTGACCAATGTTGTGTTTCTCTGTTGTATCTTCAGGTATAATAGCAAACGGAGACTTCACATCACCCAGGGATAGCTAGCACCAGCTAAAATGGACTGGTCCATTCGGCAGCTACTAGTAGTGGTGATTTGCTGTTTTTGTTCTTCTGTTCGCTCCGAAGAATGGAGTTTGACAAACCTTCCACCAGAAAGTGAGTATTTGCTTGATTAATGTTTAATTTCTAGACATACGCTGTCCAAATGAAGATGATGATGATGATGATGTAGTAACATTTGCTGTGTTCAAATCAAGGAGGATTTTTCAATGATCTGCCAAGGAGTCACAGGATTGAATCTGCAGGACAGAAGCAGTTGGATGTCTGCCATCAAGCCTCAGCATCCAAACTGCAAGCACAAACTGACCCTTAAAACCCGACATTAAAATGGATAGTTGAGTGTCAGAGTGAACCAAGTTAAGTCTATACTCTATAACCCTCCCACTGTTAGGGCAGATGAGACCAGGCATCCTAATAACACAGTAGTGGGGGAGAGAAAAATGTCAGGTTTGAAGTTTATCATTGAAGAACAACGGGACACAATTGAGCCTGGGGTCGGCACATTCCCTGCTGTCTACAGCAAGGAGAAAGCCCAAAAGACGCTGTCTTGCATCCTTATTCCTTCAGCAGGTGATGAACTTCTGTTGTTTATTTCAGCAATAGGAGGTGTGGAAGTCAGCTGGGCGGATGGTGAAGATTTTAGTTTCTCCTTTTTTTCCCTTCTGATAACAAAAGACCTTGCCTGTAGGTCCGATTAACGAATTTGACCAGTTGCCAGAGTGGTTCAGACCTACTGACTGCATCTTTACAGAGCGATTGTCCCACCCTGTACAACAAGCATGTAACGTTACATGTACTGTGCTTGCACCATTATAGTTAACCACCCCTGTAGTAGTAGTAGTAGTAGTAGTAGTAGTAGTAGTAGTAGTAGAGACAGTAGTCCTCCCAGTCATCTAGATGGACCACAAACTTGTTCTTTTCCACAGATCAAGTTTTAAAAATTTATAAAATGAAAAGAAAAAGAAACATTCACTTTGCCACTTTTTCAAATGTTCAGCTTGATAATAATTAATTACAAGATAAGCATGATTGAACTTCATGTGCAAGATGAAATTAAAGGCATAAAAATGAACATGTCCATCTAGGTGACTTTATCATGATTTCTACAGATTAATATTCATCACTTCAGTCTGCCATTGCATTTTGTTCAGTTTGTACATGTATGTAGGTGTGAACCACCATTGCCATTGCTTCCGCATCTACTTAATCCTCTCTTTCCAGGATTTCTCAGGAATTTCTTTTCCATTACATGTAGAAGTAGACGTTTCGATGCTCCAATCGTGTCTTCTCTTGAGAAGAGATGTGGAGCAAATGTTTTTTTGTGCATGTTTTGAACACAGTTGTGTAATGTATGATGTCTGTAATCATTTCATCATTAGTGCACTTGTATGTGTGCAGTAGTGATGCCTCTTTTATGTGGCGATGTATATAAACTGCCACCATTTTCCTTGTGAATGACATGACTTGACTTTCTCATCACGATGTTCTTTTCTCCCACCCCCTATTCTGTTTCTCCCCTCCGTTTTGTCCTTTCGTTGTCGGTTATTTCCTCCCCTCTTTCTCACGCCTTATCGTGTAACTTCTCGGACCTTCAGTCAACGTGGATGGTGGGTACCTTTCGGACAGTCTTTTCTCTTGCACTTTCAGCTGTTGTTATTGTTTGGTACAGCGTTTTTTAAGTACATGTACATGTATTGTGGCTTCTGCTCTCAAGCGTATATGCTTTGTGTGGCATGCCACCTGTACAGTCACATGTATGTATCATTGTAATTTAAAGAAAAGGTATACTAAGTGTGAACAGGATTGGTACAGGTCTAGTACTAGGCATTCTAACAAAATTAGAAACTATTGTCAACTATGACTCATGGCTGATTTTGAAGAATTCCTATTGCCATATTTCCACAACCTTCATTTCGGAGATCAAATATTTTGGTTGGAATACCTGGTACAAGAAAGACAATCTTTATTTTTGTATAGTTGTTATTGTTATTATAATCAGTTAATTATATTATGATTTTGAAGTTATATTTGTTTTAAGAACTTGTGCGTCCGATTTTATTTTTCTTGTTTTGTAAATGATCTTGAGTTCTTTGATTGCAGGACTACGTCGAAATATCACCTCAATTTATTTTGAAGAGGGCAGATTTTTGCCTGGACAGTTGAGCCATCTAAGGCATTACAAACATCGTATAAGAAAACATGGTACCCAAATTTATTGTATCAGCTTCCCTCTTCTCTGGGTGTGAAGGTATTTCTTCCTCGATCTCCAGCTTTTCTTATGAAAACTATAAAAATAATGAAAAGAGGTGCAGACACTCAGTAATAAGTTCCATGATCTTCTTTTTCCCTCTTCTTGTCTCAAAATCTTGGTGAAATGTTGTTACGTGGTCTCTATCTGGCATAAATATTCTGGAAAAATCCCCATGTTCATTTTCAATTAACTTAGTTTGGTAAAATCAAGACTCTGAAATAACAGACCATTATGGTGTATTGGCAACTGTATGACTATTAGAGCAGCACAAACTGACATGTTTACACCAGAGGAAAGTAGCATTCTATTCAATCATATGAATCATGAAAAACACAAGACATTTAGAAAAGCCTCCTTCATGAAGTCCAACCAAATTTTCTGACAAAAATTGCCCCTTTCAGTAGCTAACAATATTAACTGTCTATGCCTTTAGTGATGACTTTGTACTAATTTTTTTTTATGTTTTGCTGTGACAGTTCCAATGCCACCAGTCATCACCAAACAGGCACCCAGGAAACACATAGTAGATCCCAGAGAACTCATCGTCATAGACTGTGAAGCAACTGGCAGCCCTGAAATAAGGTAAGGGAACAGATTAGGATTTTATCTTTTACTAGGGGTTCAACATGTGGCCAATGCCAGTTTTCAATGTATGCTGAGGGGAAGACAAATAAAAAGGATGAAATGCAACATAATGAATAAGTAATATAACATTACATCAAAAGTTTTGCCAGTTACAAGGTAAAATAAATATACAAATGAAAAATATGATGGAGAAATAGAATGGAAAATTTCTAGAACGTTTAATCCATAGCCCTTGAGAAGGCAAACAGGTGGTAAACAAACTAGCAACTCAGAACTACATGCAAATTTTGTTAATTGCACTGAGTTTCCAGCTCTGCTCCTATTTACTGTGCAGGTATAGTTGGCTGAAGAATGGACGTGAGCTGGATGTGGATAGCGACCCCAACATCGCCTGGTCATCTGCGCCCAACTCCGGTACCATCACTATCGAACTGGATGGAGACAACCCTGATACGTCATACGAGGGCAAGTACCAGTGCAAGGCTGCCAACCACAGGGGAACAGCCGTCACCAATGAGATTGAAGTCATCATCACAGGTAAGTACTCTTTTGAATGTACATACTCTTCTGTGTTATTGAGTTGGTGGAACCATTTTTTTGTTAGGGTTGGGGGAGATCACATTTTTAAAGCCCTGGATACTTGATTGTAAATCTAAATTAGCACTTAAACTTGTAAATCTAGCAGTTTTTGTAGGCTGGTATTATATGTGTAACAGATGTGTGGGTACAGATGGGTGGGGTCATTGTAACTTTTAGCATGGGATAACAATTGGTCATCATCTTAACCTGTCTCTCAACCCTCTTTTCTCAGCTTCTCCGCTGTTTGCGTTCAGTGAAGACAAGGAGATCACCGTCGCTGTAGGTGCCCACCATGTTCTGGAGTGCCTCTCCATCCTGGGCGAGGCCATCCCACCTCCCAACATCTACTGGACCAAGGACGGCAGCAACCCCATCGATCTCACCGAGAGAATCTCCATCGATGCCAAGAACAACCTGATATTTGCCAATGTTGAGGAGGGGGATGCAGGGGAGTACTCCTGCCGAGCGGAGTACTCTAAACTGGGCACCATCCGGATTGCCAACACCCTAACCTTGATTGTTGACACAGGTTTGTTTGTCATGAAGTACTCAGATCAGCATACTGCAACACAACCGGTTGGCATTAAACTGTCTCTTAAACTGTGTTTTCAGTTTGTTATTTTGACGTTTTGAAAAAAATGTTTTGAAAACTTCGTTGAAGAGGTTCATCAGTCACGTAGAATTAACAGTTAGTAGAAATTCTTCAATCAGTGACTGTATTTTTGTAAGGTAGATTACGTACCTCCAAATTTTCGGTGTCGACTGTACACCTTTCTCACGGAGTGACCTAGTCTCGCGAGAACACGAGACTAGGTCGAGACTTGTGTGGATCTTCTGACCTCCCCCGCCTCCTTGCGGAGAAGGGGTAGGTAGGACTTGGGCAGCTCCCAACCTTCATTGCGATTCAACCTTCATTGCGATTCATCCTTTTTCTAACTGACAGCATCACCACGGGGAGCCCGTGCACCATCCTTTCTGAAGCGTGACATCAATCTGCCACCTGTGAACAGGGGGGAAGATCTGACATTGAGATGCATCACAGAGGGCCTGTGAGTACTGAGTAGAACTATTTCCTGGTACAGAAGTATTGGCGGGATTGAACTGTGGGATTGTGTATCTCCTACAGAGTAAGTTGACAACACATGGGAGTGGTAAAGATTGACAGGCAGAATGTGGCCAGGAGTCATCAGGAATTAGAGGTTGACAGGGGAAGACAAGGATTGCATGATTTCCATAAGTCTGAAATATCCATGCAATTTCATGTTGTCTATTGGTTGCAGAAGGCAATAAAAACCAAGAGCCTGTGTGTTTGCAGTTCAAGTTTCAATAAAAACTAGCGGTCAATATCATACAGTATCCCTATGTGGAAATGATTTTGACATATCCTTTCCAACAGGCCAACTCCCGAGGTTAGATGGAGAAGAACATCTGGAGGAAGTCTTCCTGCCAGCCGCGCCAAAGTGGTGGGAACGTCACTCATCATTGAGGAAGTGGTGGAGCGAGATGCAGGAAGCTACGAGTGCACGGCCTCCAACTCCCTGGGAAAGGACACTTACGAAGTGATGGTGACTGTGAATGGTGAGTGGATTTTTACACAAATACTTGGTACATACTGCTTCTCTGCTTGTATGGGGAAGCTTCACCATAATGAAACAATGCACCAAAAACTTGTAAATTTAGTGTTTCCTGCATTTTGCCTCATCACATTCGAAGAATGCAACAGAAAGCATAAAACACATAAAAATCTAATGGATGTTTCTTGTGTTTAGCTGCACCCTACTGGAAGACTGAGCCCGTGGGACAGATGCTTGCTCCAGGCGATGATGCAACCATCCTGTGTGAAGCAGCCGGCACGCCCACCCCAGAGGTCAGCTGGAAACGCAACGGAGAACCCCTCGGAGGTATGGCCAACTTTCCAACTTCATTTATACTGTTACCATGGTTACTCGAGTCTACCTGAGCATGGAATGGTGATGCCTCGGGTGCTGGAAAATACCTGAATTGGTTTGGTCGTGTATCGATGCTGTAACAGTCATAAATCTTCATCTTCAGGTGATGTTCTTCATCTCCATCAACTCTGTATTAAAATATATACACAACACAAAGATAAAATGGCTACCTGATTACAGAGGGTTCACCAAGTATCATTGCATATCTGAAAGGTGTCTTTCTGATTCTGACATTATATATATATAGATAGCAGATTCAGATCACCTGATGGACAAAGGTTGAAGACTGTTACGTCTTGCATGATGTGAGCCCGTTGTTGCATGCTGCAACCCTGGCATACATGTAACTCTAGCTTTGGCACCTCAGCTGCCAGCATGCTATGAATGCTGTAAGATGTGTAATAAACTGGTGATAGACATCAATAGTTTTGTCTTAGATTATGAGTTTTTGGAGATATCTTTACTTGTTAAAAGCACCACTTTTGCCAAAAGCCAGTTATAATTAAGGGTTGCTTCCTAGCCAGTCTGGCTGCTTAGTGTGCATGTTAAACCACTGCAGTCTGTCTTCTATTGCTAAAATGCTGTTGTTATTTCTAGCATATAGTCACAACTAAGATGCATCATGGACAAACTTGCAGCTTCGCCAAGGACAATATAGAGATTTTTACTTTGCTTGGCTGTAAACTAGCTTTAGGCACTCTTAGTGTACATATTGATGCACCAGTTTACAAAATGTACATTATTGATGTTTCCATGGTCAATGTAGTCACATGCCATTTCCTATGACTTCATATTGTATACATGTATACCTGTAGCTAGAAGGAAATGCTTTGATGTAATCATTTTGATAGATATTAACAATTTAAGTTGATTAGACAAGGAGTGTAGTAAAGGTGTTAAAATCTGAAACTGTTGGCTTTACAATGATGTTCAGTTTGTTGTGAAAGCCCTCAGTTTTAGGTTCAACGCAAGACTGAATGTGAATTATGATAATGGCTTTCTTCCCTGACCAGTTGCCTCATTGTCACAGTCCTACATCATAACCCATTCATTATACTAACAACTTGCTTCAGTATATCACTTTCCATGGAAAACGAGTATTCTGTTCTGTGGGAATCTTGTTTTATCAGACAAGCTCAAGAAGCCACGTTTAGAATTAAGTCAAGCAGAAGTACTAGTACATATTGATAACAGTTTGTTTCAAAAAGGCAGTAATGCATTCTCAATCGCCATAGAGATAAATGAAAGTTTTATAGGAAAATTAAGAGCAATGCTGGTAAAAGGGTTACTTAAGTATACATGTCAATGATGTACACTACCAGTAGACCCTGTTAATTGTGTACAGGACAGGACAGGAATGTGAACAGTGTATGTTTCAGGAACAACACAATTCTATTGATCATAAAGTAATGTGGAAAGCTGTAACTGGTACTTTTCACGTCATAATAAGTGTGTCAAAGACATTGATGGTTGCCATCTTGGTCCTCTTAGAACTGCAGTAGTTACAGGTTTCTGTAGATCTATAGATGGTGGAAAAGTGGTTTGAAAAAGGGAGTTGAGAAAGTTATGTAGTCTACGGTGGTATTGCTAATTTGCTACAAACAGCCCTGCAAGCACTTTCCTGACTGAGTCGTCAGACTTGCTTCCAAGGCAGTTTGTACAAATGTAGCATGTATACTTCTAAGGCACAACTTCTTCAAAGCACTTTGATAGTAGCACAGCTCTGGGAGCACAAAGAAAGTACTGAAGCCATTAAAACCAGTCAGTTCTTTTCTTGTGACTGAAACAAAACTACACTGTAATTCAAAGACGTCATTGATGCTGATAAAGCAGCACTTCTGTAATAACTGTGATAGCATGGAAATCAAATTCATAATAGCTGTTGAGAAGCAACAGGTTGTTGAAAGTTTTCTTCTCACTAGATGCATTTGTGATGTTTTGATACCACTTTGTGTCAATTATATAGTTAAACATGGATTGATCCGCGATCATCACTTTGAGGAAAAACTTCAAGGTGGGCTTACTTGGAATGTGGCTGTGTCTTTCCTGCATGAGGTCTTCATGATTTCTGTGAACAGTGCCTTCCAACAATTTCCACCTCATTTCTATTCTTTTTCATTGGCAAGCAAATTTGATCTGGTCTATAAAAGAAGCTGAAACATGTCTGTCTTCTCTGTGTCACCTCAAATCAGAAGCTTCACCGTTCAAATCACTGTTTCATGTGACCGCTGTGTTCTCACGTTCTCGGCAAGCTCCACCCTGTCTGTGACGTCCTGTCTTTTTCATTTTTGAGCCGCACTTGCAAGGCCAACCACGTAATCTGTCACGGTCTGTTTCCATTGGCAACCATTTTCTGTCAAGACCAGCTCTTCACAAGAGCTTGATTTTCCTGGATCACTGCCTCTGTCTGCTTCACTGCTAATTTCTGTCTTCTTGCCAGGCAGGCCTAATGCTCTGGCTTATCCCAACAACCTAAGTGTAAAAAGAACCTTTCCTTTCCCAATTCCAGATCAGCCAAACCGCCGTGTTTCTGGCACCACCCTGTCTATGCAGGATCTGGTGAAGGATGACAGTGCAGTGTACCAGTGCATCGCACGCAACAACCTCGGCACAAGGATCACTAATGCTTACATCAATGTCGTTGGTAAGTCACTCTTCAATTATCTTTGCAAGCTTTGTTGGTCATCTTTGTAGTTTCCTGCCCTGCTTTCCCTATTTGAACTCTGTAACCGATAGAGAATACCTGGTAGTCAGCCAGTTAGCTACATCAGTGTGCTAGAGGTCGTGATCAAGTCATCAAACATGTTTCACATGTTGATGAATCCCCCCACAGAACTGCCACCAATAATGCTGACACCAGCAAACAAGAAATACGCCTATGTCCAGGACCAGGATGCCCAGCTCGACTGCCTGTCCTTCGGCTCTCCCAAGCCTGAGATCACTTGGTATGTGCGATTGTGTAAAGCTGTATTTTCTGGGTTTCCAGACATCCTGTAGTAAAAATTCAACTAGAGGTCAAGATGAAAACATACAGCTTGGTAGAAAACTCAAGAACTGAAAAGTTAACATATTAACATATGATATACGAGCAGTCCCTGTATTCATGTAAAGAACAGTGTTGTGAATGGTGTATGTTTTAGAAATATGAGTTAAACTTACAACTTTAGATAATAGACTTTCATCTGTTCATTCAGTATGTTTGTTACACCTGTACAGGTATAAGGAGGAGCTTCTTGCAGGAGATCGTTACCAGGTCCTGAGTAACGGCACGCTGGTCATCACCACTGTCAGCACTGAAGATGACGGGCAATACAAGTGTATGGCCATCAACAGGTTCGGTGAAGAGGCACTGCAGGCTGAGCTGTCCGTCAAGAGTGAGCTTTTGTTATTAGTATCATTCTCACTATTTAGGGTTCCCTTCTGCAAACAGCAGTTGCTTCTGATTCATGAATGGTTAAATCTGCATACGGGAAACATTGCACTGGCAAAACGACAGGTGAAACACACCTTTAACCACCTTCAACCTTCACAAACAACTTGAGTATGTATACAGCACAATGAATTTGTATAACTTTCTGATTGTGATACAGGAAAGACCAGTATCGCCACACCGCCCCTTGCTCTGGAGGTGAAAGCTGGAAATGAGGCACAGTTTGTGTGCATGGTGGACCACGACCCTGACCTGGAACTCACCATCATCTGGCTGAGGAACGGAACCCCCGTCAAGCCGGGCAGCCGCATCAACATGGCCGTCCTTGGAACCCTGGTCATCAAGGACACCATCGGCTCCGACTCTGGTCTGTACACATGTCTGGCCAGCACCCCTAGGGACGAGGCCTCTGCACAGGCTGCACTCTCCGTCATAGGTAAGGCCACGTTGAGTTGATGCCTTAGTCATTGGATTTGATGGAATAATACTACACTGGAAGAGTCTGGGTGCAAAGTCTGTGTCTTGGTACACATACATGTATGATATACAGTCAAACCTGGCCAATGTGACCACTTTGGGTTGCCCCCTATATGTTTTTTGCATTGTTGACACAGGCATTAGAAATCCTGTCTTTAATGACCACCTGTCCACATACAGTGTAGACCAGATTCTGTCCCCAGAGTGGTCTTCTTGAGCAGTTTTGACTATGCACCAAATTGAATATTTTTTATATTTAGTATGATCAAGATACATGTTTATTGCCATTTCCATTATTACAGATGTCCCAGAGGCACCACTGAACTTGCAGCTGTCCAACCAGGCAGACACGTCGGTCACCCTGAGCTGGGACATGGGCAAGGAGAACAACTCACCCATCGAAGGCTACACCATCCAGTATGCAGAGAACAGACTCATGCCAGGTCTGTTTGTTTGTCTTCAGCTTTATTATTTCTTTACAAGATTTAATTTCTCAATCACCAATACAAGTGTTAGAATTATTTTGATTTTGTATTGTTGGTTTGCCTGTCAACATTTTTTGATAACCGTAATTTTTATATTTTAGGAGAGTGGCAGGAAATGAAGGTCATTGATGGCAGGGACACCTTGACTGCTGACCTTGACCTTCATCCATGGATCAATTATCAATTCAGGGTCATTGCTAGGAACAAGGTTGGAGACAGCAAACCCAGCGACGCCACACAAGGATATGAAACTCCTGCTGCAGGTAGGACAGTTATTTGTACATGGGTCTGGTTCAAGTTGTCTTTAGATGTAAAACATAAGTTCCTTTGTTGTAATCGTGTTCACAACTTTCTCGCTTGTCTAAATGTCCTGCTGATAGCATCTTAAATTTTCTATCTCCTCCAGCACCAAATGCTGTTCCTGGTGGCATCAAGGGGGAAGGCACTGAGCCCACCAACATGATAATCAGCTGGGAGGTAAGAACTGCATCTTTTCTCATAACAAAAAATCTTTTCATGGTATGTATTCACCTATTTTTGCATTGTGAGAGTTGTCACATCTCAAGTCTGTTATACTCAATTCCGTTTGTTTCAAACCCGTGTCTTCCAGCCCCTCCCTGGCCTCCAGCAGAACGGCCCAGGCCTGAGGTACGAGGTGCGCTACCGTCAGCAGCCGCAGAACAGGAAGCGTCGCCAGGCCGACTCGGACTGGACCGTGGAAACTGTGAACGATCCCAATGGGAAGGAGTTCATTGTGGAGGACACCCCAACGTACACGGCGTATGAGATCACTGTGCAGGCCAAGAACGATTTTGGCGATGGCCCACTGTCTGACGTCGTCGTTGGTTACTCCGGAGAGAACTGTAAGTTGTTTCATGGACTGAGAAGTATAGCTATATATGAACTACTGCGGTACACACCACTGCATGATAGTACTGAAGTCTTACTGAATATCTATTGATTTTGAATACTAGTATCTGATTTTGTTTTAGTCCTTAGCATTGTTGTAAACCCCAATTTTTGTTTCTTGCAATGCACAGTCCCTTCAGCAGCAGTAGAAAACACAGAAGTTGGGGACATCCAGCCGAGGAGTGTGAGGCTTGACTGGGACCCAATCGATGAGGAGTCTGTCAATGGAGACCTGAAGGGTTACAAGGTAAGGACTGACCTGAAAATATGGAGTGTTGTCAAGGCTTAATGTACCACCTGCATGAACTATCCAAGTTAGTGCAAGTAAAGTTGGAGTAGTGCTGTTGTCTAGCTATGATTAAGCTGGACTGTGCTCTCAGGGGTGGAAATACCACCAGTAGATGAGTTAAATGCAGGTAAAGTTGGAGTTTTGCAGGTATTTTTGTTTTCCATCCAAGCATCTATCGCCAGAGTTGAATGACACATGGTGTAGCTGCTGTCCTTGGTGCTGAATACTCTGGTGTTATGCAGTGGGACTTTCCGAGTGGTATCCATTTTACTACATGTCATCTGCAACATTGCTTTTATTGAACACAATCTTGTACATTGAAACCAAGTGACACCTACTTGTTTGTTCCTCCGTAGGTCCGTTACTGGGATGAGGATGACCCAGACAATGTGATGGAGAAGACATTTGAGGGTGACGAGCCTACTGCTCTGGTCGACGGTCTCACACCTTTTAAAAACTACAACTTTGAGGTAAATCATGTATTAAAAACAGGCAAAGGGTAACAATGTAACGCAAGTTAACAATTTTTCTGTACAAATCACATGAGTCTTTCTTGAGAGAAACGTTACATTACATAAAAGTAGTGAAAATCAACACTGGTACAGTTATATCTTAACATTTGTGACATCAACTTAGAGTGACATACCTAGAATTGGATTTTTGGTGACACATTGTAGGGAGTATAGTGTTTGCAGGAAGGACCTTTGCTGCAGATGTAAGATATAGACAAAGTGGTAGCCATGCTTTTTTTTAGAATATGCTCATGGTAACACGGCATCCATACATTTTGCAGGTTGTTCCTTACAATGGGAAAGGAGATGGACCTGCCAGTACTCCTCCAGTGAAGGCCAGCACCCCTGAGTCAAGTGAGTTATTCATTCATTTTTTTATATATTTTCTCCCCAGCAATTATAGCGTACGTCAAATCACATGGTGATTCTTAACATGCAAACTCTTAACAATATTTTAGTCTGTTCTGCTTCACCAAATAGTCAAACTTTCATGCTGCTGGAAATGATTGCAGTTCTTAGAATGGGAAAGGAAGGAAGCTGTGTTCATCATATTAGGAATTTGTCAGTACACTCAGCATCTATATTTTCTTTCTTATCATCTATCCATCTTGTAAAGACTAATAGAGGATAAGATGTTCAGAAAATAAAACGAAATCCACTCATTTTCATCACATTTTGTTTTTTCCTGACAGCTCCTGGAGCTCCAAGTGCCTTGAGGGCTAACGTTTTGGACAGCAAAACCCTGGATGTGCAGTGGGAGGCACCACTGGAGCCCAACGGTGTCATCACAGGCTACGTCCTCACCTACAGAACAAGTATGTTAAGACATGGTCAACATTTAAGGCTACTAGCCTAGGTACCATACTCATTAGTATTCATTCTCATAACCTAAACACATTACTATGGGAATGACCATGAACTAACAAGAATGATACCCAGGCTGAAAGCTACATTGTCATCAAAATTCACCAGGTTGTTTCACCACCAGTAGTATATAAAGTTTACCATGTAGTAACCTTTAAAACAAGTATGGCAGAAATTAAATTTCTCTGTGAACGCATTTAAACAACCATTTTCTGACCTTGATTTAGATGAACTTCTGTTATGATTGTGGCTTCTAAGATACTTTGCTTAAAATAACGGGGTTCTACAAGTCTGTTAAACTTTGTCAATATCTGCTTTTGAAATGACTATAGCATTGGAAATGCTAACTGTGCTCTGTGTGTGTCTTTCTTGTGTATTACGTTTGGTCTTCCTTCAATCTGTCCTTTGTTTCTGTCACTATCTATACACTTCCCTCCTTCCGTCTGGCCCTGTCTTTTTTTCCTTCTTGTTTCATGCCTTCACATTTTTGCCTAGTGCCAGAACCGGGTACACTAGAGGGGCGCTTGGGACCCCGCATGGAGATTCCTGTGGATGACCCCGCCACCACCAATGCGGAGCTGAGTGACCTGGAAGAGCAGACGTGGTACCGGATCGAGCTGCAGGCCAAGACGAGGATCGGACTGGGGGATATGAAGGAGCTGGAGACTTCCACCTCCGACCCAGCACGTATGTAATGTTGCTATTGTTTGCTTACACCTGTTTCTAACAACAGTGTTTTGATGAAGCTTGCAATGCTTTCAACAAGTTGACAAGAATTAACCAGCAGCTCACTGCCAATGGCCAACAGGAGAGACAAGTGCTCAGGTGACAAGCTACAGTGTAGATGCTCTCAGCTATTGCACATGTACAGGCAAATGGGCTCTGTATACAGAAACATAGCTGAACTTTATTCTGCTTTTACTTTGAAGTCATGCTAATACTTTTACTTTTGCTATATAATTTTGATAATTATTGCTACAAAGCCACAGCAGTGTTAGACCTAAACTGTACTGTAACAAAACAGGGCAATCCTGAATTTTTAAGCCGCAGTTGCTAGTTCAGATGACATAGTCAAAACCCATTATTTGTAAAACAGTAGCAGTATGCACTGTTTAAATAAGCAAGCATGGAAAAAAGCCTTTCTTAATAAACATATTGCATAAAAGCATCAAAGTAGAGCCCAGTCGAACTCTTAGACCAAGCTTTTACGACAGGCCAGTTGTAGCTATAATGTGCTATAATGATTACTGTGCTGATCCTTTTTCTGCAAAATCACTCGCGTTCACTGCCATAGCAGCACTGCTGCCTGAAGCATAACACACTCAACTAGCTTTCATCTCCATGCTGTCTTCTCATTGCCTCAACTGCCAAGGGAACCAAGCTCCAAAACTTAAATGGTTGAAGAAAACTGTCCTCAAAGGTTTTTTTTTCCTTTTTGGCCTTTTTAATTTAGCAAAATATTATGATCAATTTTTACAGTCAGGAAAAAAAATTCCCACTGAACTATAGTTCAATAATCATGAAGTACCTTGGCAGTCACTCCTCTCTAACCTCTAACTTTTAACCTTTCTGACCTTTAACCTCTTTGACCCTTTTTACATTCTGAAGGGGAAACCCTGAACTTCGCGTTACCACCACAAGGTGTGTTCATGTAACCTTGACTTTCTCATCTTCTATATCCTACCGGCATCGCATCTACTCATACCTTGTACTCACATTTAGTTTCAACATATCCATTCAGTTAAAACTAATCAAGGATTGAATTTCCTAAGTACTTAATAGTTTGAAACACAATACTACATCTTCACATTCAACACATAATTACTTCAAATGACAAGAAGACGAGTTGAGGTATAACCTAAATAGTTAGATTAGAGTTGACGTTTATGTAACACCCTTGAGGTTTGAGCTGGAATCCTGCAACAACTTAAGTAGTTCCTCCCTAACCAGTAAAAAAATGGAACTCTCATGATGTCCCAGTGGTTTTGTTTTTGGTCAAATTGAAAGTGGAAATTCCACACAAGTTGTCCAAAAACTTTGTTAATACCTTCCTACATTTCAGCAGACTCCAACATATAGATGGTCCTTTGTCTCATGTTTACTCCATCCAAATTCAGCTGTGACTACCGTTGCTATGACAACCACTGCCATGGCAACCACAGAAGGGGAGGTTCCTTTAATCCCACTTATCCCTGACGATGGAGATGGCTTGCCAGAAGATGGCTTGCCAGAGGCAAGCAAAGGTTAGGGGGTGTCTTCCCCAGTTTTGTTAAAGTCCTGGCGGAATGATATGATGTTGGACTGAAGAAATATCTTGTGCATCGGACTGGCAAGAAAAAAAATAAAGAAGGCTTATGTTGTAAAGATGAGCCAAAGCATTGTCCTTGCAGCATTTTGCAGATGCCAAAGCACATGTATGAAATGGCCTATTGGTGCAATCAAGGTTTGAGTTGGTAGAATGTGCCGCTTTGAAGTACAAACTCTCTTTAAACTTGTCATGGTATCCAGCGCTAAACATATTGTAAATTGGTTCAGAACTATTGTCAACTTTCATAATTTTGCCAGGTACCCCAAGACCACAACCACATTAGAAAAATGGTTGAGGCTTCGTTAAGAACGTCTTGAACACCTGCACAACTTGTGGATTACTGATGCTTTAGTAGTAGATCTCTTCAAATTCAAATGTGGCAGTCTCAGGGTACCCAGGGGAATTATGAAGGTTGCTGTCAGATGCAACACATACCTGGTGCAGAAGTACCCAAAATGTGCTTCATTTCCTGTACAAAGCTGTGCATATCTGTGTGAGGCATGGCCGTATGTTCCAATTTTTGAGAAGAGTCATGGACTGTTTTGCTCCAGCCAAGCTACTCTCTGGGTGTTATATAAATGGTATGCAGCAGTAGCAGTGCTCTATCACAAGTCCTCTGTATCAGAATCAACTGCAGTGTTTGCCTGTCAGTTACTTATGTGGTCAAAGTTTTCTGTCCAGAGCATGGCCAGCCCAGGTCTAGCTGACATACACAAATAACATGACAGATAATTAGTCATGTACAAGTAGTAAACTGTTAACATGTTTTGATTGAGCATAACAATTTGGACAAATTGGAGAGGACTGTATAAGGGGTTGTGTGAAAATGAGACGTTTAGGCTAGGATATTCCCAACAAATGAATGGTACAAAATGCTGATAAAACTCTGTAAAACAGTTATCTGAAGCCCCAAATGGGACATTTTAATGACCCCCTCCCCAAACACAGTCCTTTGTCGTCTGTCCCTTCTAAGAATGTGTATTCATGGACACACTTAAGAGTGGTTGAGAAATGCATTGATTTGTTGAAATATCCTGCCTGCAGAAAAGGTTTGTCTTCTTCCCCTTACACTGTGTCCCTTTTCTAAGATTAACATGATAATGATAGTAACTGTTACAACTCAACAATGTTATGAGATTTACTAACCTCGTTGGGAGAGGCTTGCTTCATTTGAACTTCAACATCTTGATTTACCATCCTTTTTTTTAAACCAGGTACTGTAGTTATTTAATCATCAGTCTGCACATATTTCCTGAGAGATAATTGAAGACTTGTTGTTAACAGACTGACTAAAGGTAAGACAAAGCTATGATCCCTCCTTTCATCTGTTGGTGTGTCTGGTTGCAGCTCCTCTGAAGCCTGAGGCTGTGGAGGTCCTGGACACAGGAGAGAACTTCATCAACGTGTCCTGGGTGCCAGCTAAGGTTGGACCACGACCGTCCCAGTTCTATGTGGAATACAGGGAGCGAGGTAAGGACATTTCTAGAACAAATTTGCTCATTGCAAGGCCCAGAGACCACTTTCAGGTACTGAAAGTTTGTGAACAGTATCTCTTTAGACAGGCTCGACTCATGACTGAGAGTGAGAAATAACTGACCCAATAGGAAAAGCAGATGTCTGGAAGAGTGTTTGGGAACATGTAACTCTGCTCTTAGTTACATGTAATTCTTTAGAATTTGAGCTGAAAATAACATTTTGTTGTGTTCAAGGCAGAACTTTATAATATTTTTCTGTTTATATTACCTTTATATAATTTTATACATATCTGTTTTACAATGTTATGTTACCTTCCTCACATTTGTTGCTGCACATCCACTGTGATTAGCTTTGGCTAATTTTCTACACTCCCCTGTGCACATGTTCAGACTATCAGCAGAGCTAATTGTTTAACCTTTGAGTTGTATAATATGTTTTGTGTTTATTGTTTCCAAATTGTTTTGGTCAAGATTTATTCCCAGTTTTGTGTTTCTTTTGCAGACCTGCATGCCGACGATGTTGTTATCAATGGTAAAAAGACAATCATTAACTGCATGCCACTTCTCTTACCCAGTTTTCTCACATTAAAGCTGTAACACCATTGCATGTAGATTCTTCTCTGCAAATAGCCCCTAATGTTGAACTTTGGTATTGAGGGTTGAAAGTGGGATTTATTCTCCTTGCTCAAATTTCGGGGACATCCGTATGTTCTGACACCCCTATATT